AGAGTTTCCATCTCTGAGGAATCTGAGCTCCTAGAGAGAACCATTTCTCAGGTGGGGTTAAGCATATTTTGCCAAATTTATTTTGAACAATTTAACAAATAAAATGTTAAAGAACCGAAGTATATCCTCCCTCAACTCATTCTCTTCCTTCCTTTTCAAGACTACTCACCACCCTAAAGTGAAGATTTTACAATCTTTGCCTATTTTTCACTCCATCTTTTAATGATTATCTGTTTGACATAGATACTCGCATAACATGCAGCAACTTAGTACCCAGGATAAATGTACACATCAATAAGCAAAAAGGCAAATCACTCTATAGAAAAAGAGGGGGAAAAGGAAATTCACAGAAAAGTGAAACCAAATTGTCAGTAACCATAAAAATACTTAACTGAAATAATCAGAGTTTACATGTTATGTAATTTCATTTTATATCTATTGGTATTTCCCAATTTTTTCTCCTCTTTTTTCTCACAGATACATTTGGACTGTGAATTAACCATGCCTGGACTTTCTGTTTCACTCTTTTGCAATAAAGACACCTCACTTCTTTGAACTATGTGTACCAGAAAAGGACACTTAAAATCAGTGATCTTTTCCCCTCTTTTTTGATATATTTTTTAAAATAATTTTATTTCAAAGGGTTTTCTTCTTTTTCTTTTTCCATTTCTATCCCTTTACATATGAATAATTCATAAAAATATTTTGAAGTATCCTGCCATGAGTTACACATATTGATATAAATCCATATCGTTTTAAACTTGTAGCTGTATACATTAATAAATTTTTGCTGGAGGATGGTAATGAAACTAGCACTTGGTTAATTTTTTTGTCTCTTGCCCTTTGAGAACTAACTTATTGCTCATAATGTGGCATAATGTTATGCCCCGTAAATATACCTTTATTATTGATTTATTTGAAACAGGGTACATAAGTAAAACAGCCAAAAAATTATGGTGAGCACAAAAAGGGTCCAAATGGAGTTGAGAGTCCAGTGGTATGCATTGTCTGTAGTAGAAACCACTTTTGGTCTTTTTTTAAAGAGTCATTATAAGTGAAAAACCTGAAGAAAATTTAGCTAGTTACAAAGCGTTTAGCAAGTTGAATTTGAATTGCTTCTGTATCATCATCACTCTGCGTACTAACACAGGATTCATTTTGCCCACGATTAGTACATTTACAAGAAATAGACACTGACCTCACAAATCCAGCATTCACCTTTGCAAGGAAGCCAGCACCACCACTGGGTTTGTCTTACTAGTTTTAGCAATGTGGAGGGCTTTGTTTTCTGTTCTGCTGCCCCCATATTAACAACAGAAGACTTACCTTTGTTTTAATAATCTAACTTTTCAGCCTCCTCACTTAGAATACCAACCTGTTTCAACTAACCATAGTCTTTTGTAAAATGCTCCCTGGGCATCCCCTTCACTGCCTTATGGTATAATTTAAAATGATTGTATTCTATAACCCCATAAATCATTAAGTGTTAAAATACAAAATGTCAAATGGGAGGTTGAATTATTTAAAGTTGGGGATAGAGGAGAAAGAATACCAAGTTACAGTAAAATGCACAAAGTATAAAGGTTTTTGGAATTAGTTTAATACTAATTTTTAGATTTAGTTGATTCACTGTCATGATAAATGACATACAAAAAAACAGAATAGCATTAGTAGTTAGAGTGTTTTTTTTCCACATTAATGATGCAAATTTAACTTTGGTAGATCTCTGACTACTCAAAATCCCTTAATAGAATAAAATGGTTTTTCTTTGTGTTGTTTTCTTTTCTTAAGAAATTGTGCTTCTTAAGTTTCTATTTACTTTAAATTAACATTATGAGCAGTTTTTGTTTTTCTTTTAATCTAATAGTTTAGGTTACTGACCTCACTATGTGAGAAAGTTTCATCAAATCTCCTCGGTTTCTAAAGAAAATAGTTGTAAATTTTCCTGTTTCGCTTATATTAATAAAATATTTATGAAATGGTATGCATATTATAAGCCAGGTTTTTGTTTAGCCTGCAAATTAGTCCTTTTTGAATGTATATTTTATAAGTAAGAGCTGTTATTCAAAGTTTACATAACTTGTTTAAATTCTTAAACCTAACGAGCAAGTTTCAGAACTGAAACCCAGGTCCATCTCCAAAATTCATAGTGTTTTACTATTCCATACTATGCCATCATAATTATGTGTACTCCAAACAGAAAGTAGTGTGAGAGGTCAATGGCACTACAATGGCAAAGTTTTCTCAAGCCATTTGATAAATCCCACATTGGATTCCATAGAGACTCGGGGAAAATGTGAACAGCTGATGCTATGACCCTTGACTGGCATCAGAAACGGTCAGTCCCTGTACATACATCACCCCCAACATTATTCTTTCTCTTCCTCTAATCTAGTGGGAGAGTAGATTCCATTAACCAGAAATGCTACCATTTATAAGATACCAATTTTCATTCCTAAGAGAATTATAGAGGGGACAAGAAGCTGACCACGAAGAGCTATACATAGCTGAATATTGGTGATTTTTTAGAGTGAAAGCTTGTTTCATCTTTTTAAAGCAAGTTGATGTTTGTTTAATTCATGGGTAACTTGTCTTGTTTTATTTCTATGTCATTTGGCCTTTTCCCTGCCATTAAGAATGACATTACCGTCTTGCTTTCCTCTCTATGTGGGTTGCAAAATATCTGCATAGAACCTTCAATAACTCTCACACTGGCATCACTTCCATAATCCCCAGTTCCCTGTTCTCTTCATCAGATGACCAGCTATTTAACATGAAGTATTCATCAATGACTAGACTGTTTAGGAATGGGACTCATAAAACAAAATATGGAAACTAATAGAAGGGCATTGATTCTCTGTCCCATCCAAAGATAGGCCACAAATTAAGTAATAAAGCACACATTGCTGCTCGTGACGTTTCATTTCTGTGGAGCTGGAGTTAGCAATGCATAACCCATAGGCAGATGCATTAATCTCATAAACTATCTAGATGGGAAACCCTATGTTGACAACTTGATCTTTATTGCTATTCTAACATGCCTGTTACAAAAATTTGTATTTCCAATAAACTGAGCCAATATGCAACAAAAGGAATTAACTGAAACTTGCTGTTTTGCAGAAAACAAGTCTTTATTCTGTTCTGCTTTACTGAATCTTAGTGTTCGCGTTGCCTCTCCAAATTATACTCCTAATATTTCCATCTCTACGTATAACAATGAAGTGCAGTGGATCTTAAAATCTGCCTCTGTTGAACCAACATTTCTTCATGTACTTTAGCACTGAAGAATGTGAATCTCAGGGAAGAAGTCTCTAGACCTTAAAAAAAAAAAAACAGTGATTTTTGTGTATTCTCACAAGATAGTAACGATATTCACAGTCAGATGAAGGAAGGGTTTGGGGTGGACAACATTCCAAGCAAAGAAGAATATATATACATATAGTGGCTTGATAAAACAATGTGTGTTGGCAGAATGACAAATATTTCAAGATGAGAGGAGCTTTGAGAATCTGAAAAATAACTATCTAAAAATCTATGTAGGAGCCATGAAGTGAAATGGACTTTCCTTTTATTTTTTCCTCTCTGTTAATAAGAATGGAATTTATCCTGCAGAATATGGGAGATACTGAATATTCTTAAGTCAGGAAGTGGGTTGGCGAGGTTAACAAATCTGGATTCAAATGCTGGATCTTTCCCACTACAGTATGACCCAAGGAAAGACGTTAAATGTCTCTGTTATATTTATCAGTTTTCTCATCTATTAACTCAGAAAAATAACATTATGGTGATTGTAAGAGTTGCATACATTGAATTGAAATATTTAAAATGCTCTGAGCAGTCCTAGAATTAAGTGCTGTATACATTTTTGGACATATTGTTATTGTTTATCATTTGAGACACTCAACATTCACTTTATTAACCCTTTTCCACATGCAAGGCAATGTGATGATATTCAAGGCTTAAGAATAAAAAGATGAGCAAGACAAATATATGCCTTCTAAGAGCTTGTGTAGTGGCAACTCTTAGCATAGAGGCAAATACCAGAGGCTGCCAGGGCTGAGGCAGAAGTTATTCTTCCTAGGTGGAGAAGTAAAATTTCCCCTTTAATTGAGTCTTACAAATAAACAGAAGTTTCTCAGACAAAAAAGTGAGTAGGAGAAGAATATCAATGTGTAAAGTGGGCATGGTATCCTAGAAGTTCTTTTGTTTGATATTTTGCAAACTGAGGAATGTGGTTCTAGTTCAATACGAATGGGGAAGCCATTGCAAAAATTGAAACAAGTAAGCAGATACCAAATCATTAAGGCCTTTTAATGTCCAGCAAGGAGGTAGATGTGTCTTTAGGCTCTGATTAATCTTTCAAGACATTTAGTAAGGCCATGTCAAAGTCACAGACTGCTTTAGGCATTCTTTTTTTTTTTTCATCTGATCATTGAGGAATCCATTTATAATTCAAATAAAACTGCAAGATGTTATCTTGTGTGTATTCAGTTAGAGATATCTAAGGAGAATTCTTCAAATAATGAAACTGTCTTAGCTATAGTCACGTGAGCCATGATGATCAAGTTCCTAAAAAGAATCACCTTTTCTATTCAAGTTTAATTTCCTCATGCAAAGGAAGAAAGAAATGGGAAAAAAGAGTATAAAAGATAGAAAAAAGAGGAAGAAAGTGACAGGGAGATAAGAAGAAAGGTAGGCAAGGGAAGAAGAATAACAGAAAGAAAATAAAGAGAAAGAAAATTAGAAATTGTAAAAAAAAAAAAAACCTTCTAAGGCACAGCTGAATTAAAAAGGAATATTCACTTGCAAAATTGGCACTGTGCAACCTTTTTGTGCAATGAACAAGATATCAAAAGACGTTTCCCAAGCAAAAGTTCTTTAGTAAAATTAATCCTCTGATTCAATTTCTCTTTATATAAGGAAAACCTTGATATACAGATGTAATATAAGAATAATATTTTTTTTCACCTGTAACTCTCACTTGGGAAGGCATAAGCAGAATCTACTACACAGCCACTAATATAGCCAAAATTGAAGCACATATCTGATGATTCCATGTGGAATTCAACTACTCTGAGTTTTCTGGAAAAAATAAATAAAATAAAATAGCCAAAATTGACAGTATATTAAAAATAACAACCAAACTAATGAAATAGCTGTCCAATACCACCACCATTGCCCCCATGCAAAAAAATTAGACCCACCACATTAAGCTATCATTTCCTTGTTAAATTCAACTTTTTGTACTCTTTTTCTTCTCCCCCTCCTTAGCCTGCTTCGTCGTTACCTCTTCAGGTGTGTCACCCTTAACTGGCAGGTCAAAATGGATGCGTTGAAGTGCAACTATGCCGGGTTCCCGAGAGGACCCATCTGCCACCGCTAATCAGGAGGCTTTGGTCCATAGACTGAGCACAATTTTAAACCAGTCATTGGACAGACAGGAAATACTCTGCCGAAAAGCTGTTTAAAATTATAGTGTGTGGTTGGTGGTTGATAAGAGAAGATTGACTTTTTTTGTGTGTGTAAATAAAAGCTGTTTTCTTGGTTGCAAGCTTTTTTTTTTTTTTTTAAGAGACAGCATGAGCAGGGGAGGGTCAGAGAGAGAGAAAGACACCGAACCTGAAGCAGGCTCCAGGCTCTGAGCTAGCTGTCAGCACATAGCCCGATGTGGGGCTCAAACCCACTAACCGTGAGATCATGACCTGAGCCGAAGTCAGACGCTCAACTGACTGAGCCACCCAAGTGCCCCGATTGCAAGCTTTTTAAATAACCATTATTGAAGCATATGACATGCCTTCCCATGTTGTAAAACTTTCGGTAGTAAATAAATTAACTGACCTAACACAGTTATAGTAGTCCAGCTATATGACAAAGCAATCTGTAAAACTTGAGCAGTAACCAGGACCACAGTAACCCAATAGAGGTCATCACAAGTTATTTGGGAAAACACACAAAAAATGTATATAGGATTTGTTCTCACATGTATACAGAGACACATGGAATATAAACACAGAATTAAAAATGGCAAACAGAAGATCTAATCTTTTTATTACTCGTGATATAACCTTGTATAACTCGTGTTCTCTACATGTCTGACTTTGTAGAAATGCTGTAGGACCCCATTACATTGGATCTTTTACCAATACAACTGAAACCATTCTGGTAGTACTATTAACTACTACTGATAAATATTTCTTCTTCTATTAAGTCATTATCACATTTTGTTTAAGAAAAGGTAATAATAATAATAATAATTGCCATATTTTCAATGACAAGTTATAAGTGGAAGAAATAAAATATTTTAAGAATTTTTGTTTAATGCTTGTGACATTTGTGTGCTCTTTTGGTTGTCAGATTACAAGGATAATACTCCACAGGGAACTTCCTAATTCCTCCTGGGAAGAATGTTTGTAATTTGTATATCTGCTATTATAAATGAAGAATGAGGCCCGATCTGGTTAGCCCAGATCACCCTACTAAGTTTCATTCAAGTGAGATAATTAAAAAAGAAGTGATAGTAATCATGCTAGCCATCCTTTGAATCCTAAATTTAAACTGTATTTTTGAAATTAAGACTCATCAAAAAAATGCTCTAAATGTATTCATTATAAACATACTACTCAATCTAAACAATGAAACCTTTTTTTATTCACAAATAGTTTTACTCTTATGGCTATTAATTTAATACTTTAAAAACCTTTACAATTAAGGCCAAGATTTTAGTGAGAAAAGTGAGAAGTTCCTGGTTATGAACCAGGAAAAAGATTCTCACCAGGAAGCAACCATGCCGGTACTATGATCTTGGACTTCCCAGCCTCCATAACTACAAGAACAGATGCAGATCTTCTAAATCCAATTATTGAACTGACATCATCAAGATGACAACATAGGTCTTTTCTGACTTCAGTATCCCTCACAGGAAGACCAACTAGCAACTACCCATAGTTAAGCACTATTGGGAAAATCTGAGAGCCCCAGGAGTGAAGCTGGAACACCTCCTTGGGGTGCAGCGTCTGAGGAGTGCATTAAAAGGGTAAGAGGTGTGGTTTCACTCTGAACCAAGTGTCCCTCTTGTAGGCCAGCACAGTGCCCACACTGAAAGGGGTTCCCTGATGCTATGTTTTCTCCAGTGGGGAAAGAGAGCCACAGTGAACATTCAGCTTCCCCAACATTGTCAAATGCTTCTCAGGAAGCACACTTGGGTCTCTTTTCACTGGCATCAGTGGGGGAACTTGTGGGACTTGACAAACGGGGATCAGACAGAAACAAAGATGGGGTTTGGGCTTATAGCAACCAGGTCTTAAATCTTGTCAGACTGCATTCTTACTAGTAGTAGTGTCTAAGCAGAGAGAATAGACACTGGCTCTGCCCATCTGCAGAACTGAGCCAGTAGCCCCTTCTGGCCAGGGAGCTTGGATGGCAGTTCTATCTTATTTGGGCCCCAAACCAATGAGCCATATGGGCCATGGGTCCAATTCTATGGGCATGGCTGGGCAGAGAAGCCAAATTGGCACCCCCACCAAACTGCTAGGCATTGTCTCCAATCCCACCTGACCAGGAAGCCATAGAGCTCATTATATGGACTTGCTTAGGCAGTAAGCCAAGCCACCAACCCTGTCTGACTGTTGAGTATAGCCTCTGGCCCTGCATAACTAGGGATCTTGAACAGTGACCCTGGATAGTCTTTGAGCCCAGATTACAGTATCGCTCAGCTATAAACAGGACCTTCCGTCTGAGAGCACCAGAATATACTTTCATCTCAAGAGTACAAAGAACACTCTCCAGGGTATATCATATGTTAGGCCACAAAGCAAGCCTTAACCAATTTAAGATGATTAGAATCTTGTCTAGTATTTTTCTGATGACAATTGTATGAAATTAGAAATCAATAAAAGGAGGGAATCTAGAAAATTTACAAATGCATGCAAATTCAACAACATGCTCTTCAACAAATAATAGATCAAAGGCGAAATCAAAAAATAGCTTCAAACAAAAGAGAAGTTGGAAACACAACATACTAAAATGTATGGAATGCAGAAAAAGTAGTTCTAGAGGAAATTTATTGCTATAAACTTATACATTAAGAAAAAGGAAGGATCTCAAATAAACAACTTAACATTCTACCTCAAGGAATTAGAAAAAGCAAAGGAACTGAGTCCAAAGTTAGCAGAAGAAAGGAAATAAGAAAGATTGCAGCAGAAATAAATGAAATAAAGAATATGTACGCAATAGAAAAATTAACAAAACTAAGAGTTGGCCCTTTGAAAAATTTAACAAAATTGACTAAACTTTGGCTAGACTAATCAAGAAAAAACTGACTCAAACATATAAAATTATAAATGTAGAAGTTCACATTATAATTGATACCACAGAAATATAAATGATCATAAGAGACTACTATTAATAATTATATGCAAACAACATGAACAATGTAGAATAAATGGGCAAATTCTTAGGAACATAAAACCTACCAAGACTCATCATGAAGAAATAAAAACTCCAAGCATCAATAATAAGGAGATTAAATCAATACTCAACACTTTCCAACAACAGGAACAAAAAAAAAAAAAAATCAAGATGCTAGATTGTTTCACTGGTGAGCTCTATCAAACACTTAAAGATGAATTAATGCTAGTCTTTTTGAAACTCTTACAAAAAGCTGAAGAGGAGAGAACACCTCCAAAGTTAGTTTATAAAGCCAGAAGTACCTTGTTACCAAAGCCTAAGGACATTGCAAAAAAGAGAATATCAGTATCTTTGGTGATACTAGCAAACCAAATTCAACATTACATTAAAGTGATCATACACTCTGGTCAAATGGGATTCATCCCTGGGATGCAAGAATAGGTCAACATACATAAATCAATAAATTTGATATATCACATTAATAGAATAAAAGATAAAAATCATTTCAATAGATGCAGAAAAAGCATCCATTAATGATAAAAATGACCAACAAACTAGGTATAAAAAGAATATAATTCAACATAATAAAGACGATATATTACAAGCTCATAGCTAACATCATATCAACTTTATAGTTTGGAAATTTTTCCTTCAAAATTAGGAATAAGATAAGGATGCACACTTCAACCACTTCTATTCAACATAGTATTGGAAGTCCTATCTGGAGCAATCAGGCAATAATTAACTAACTAACTAACTACAAACATACATAAAGTAAGTAAGTAAATAAATAAATAAAATTCAAATTGAAGAGGAAGAGGCAAAATGGTCCCTGCAGATGACATGTTCTTATATATAGCACATCCTAAATACTTCACACACACAGACACAAATGTTAGAATTAATAAATTCAGTAAAGTTGCAGGATGCAAAATCAACCTACAGAAATCAAGATTTCTATACACTAACAACAAACTTTCTGAAAGAGAAATAAAATCAATTCCATTTACAACAGCATTGAAAACAGTAAAATACTTACTATAAGTTTATCCAAGAAGGGGAAAGAAGTGCAACTGAAAACTTTGAGACATTGAAAAGAAATTGAAGACTCAAATAAATGAAAATGTTCATGGATCAGATGAATTAATATATCAAACTGTCAATACTGCCCAAAGCCATTAATAGATTCAATACAAGATTCCAGTGGCATTTTTTTTTTTTTTTTACAGAAATAAAACAAATGTTCCTAAAATTTGTAAGGAACCACAGAATTGCCAAAACAACTTTGGGACAGAACAAAGCTTCATATTTCTGTTTCAAACTATATTACAAAGATATAGTAATGAAAACAGTATGGTGTTAGCATAAAAAGACACATAGACCAATGGAACAGAATTGAGAGCCCACAACTAAACTCACACATATATAATCAACTAATATTTATCAATGGAACCAAGAATACTTAATGTGGAAAAGATAATCTCTTCAATAAATGGCCTTGTGAAACTGGATATCCACATTCAAAAGAATGAAATTGGACCCCTGTCTTATACCACTCACTAAAATTAACTCAAAATGAATTGAAGACTTGAATGCAAGACCTGAAACTATAAAACCTCCTGAAGAAAACACAGGGGTTTCTCCTTCACATTGGTCTGGGCAGTGATTTCGTGTGAGTATGA